GTACCCGTGTAAAATCTAAGTGGGTACTGTCTCTTAAAACCAAAACTGTGGAACAGCTTACCACTCTTTCTTCACACGCTTGACTCTGTGGCATTCTTTAGAAAGCTTTAAACTTCTCTATTCAGACAGAGATTTGGGTGTTTTTGTGTTGTGTGCATTTTGCTCTTCTTTTTGTTTGTTTTTCTCCTGATATCTCTGTAAGCACTTTGTGACTCCTTTTCTTAGAAAGCGCTATATAAATCAATTTTACTTACTAATCTGCATCTGGATTAGTTTGTGATATTTTCTCGTAAACATCAAGGTGATGTCTGATTTTACTTCGATAGGTATTTCTGATGACACCAGACGTCTCACAGCGCTGAAATATCGTTCCAAAAATTCCTTGATCTATTGTGACTAACTGTTAGTTCCACTTCAAGCAGGTAGTCGCTTCTAAGTGTGGGCCAAGACTCACCTCTGATAAAGATTTTAATGCATATATCAATATATATATATATATATACATACATATATATATATATATATATATACATATATATGTATGTATAAACAAACCAAAATAATCACAGAAAACAGTTTCAAGTACTAGCACCTCAAAATGCTCATTTCCACTGCTGCTTTTTTTAAAATATGCATGTGTTTTTTATATTTACATTCACATTAAATTTGACTCACAGTGACATTTTCTTGTGTTACGGCTTTTATTGCAGTAGAGAACATTTAAAAAGACAGACTTTTTTTTATTACAAGTGAGCAAAAAATGAAACATTAACCTCCTCTACCCTCATCTTTACGCTGTCATTAATATGTAGTTTAATACTATAAACACACCGAGTTATTTTTAATCAGTGGGTATTATTCCAGACTTCTTCACCTTTTCTGGGGACATGGCTCAGCTGCCTTTGTTGTCCTGTGTGATGATGTAATGGTGATGTAATCCGGTGGCAATACAGCAGGTGAAAACCGATCCAGATGTGAAGCTGTGCGCTTTAGTGACCCCGTGAAAGAAATGACATCCGGATGTTTATTTCTTTTAATGAATATAACAGCAGACGTCAGGGGTTATTTTTAATGAAGCATTTATATGAAACATTTAAGCCTGAAACGAAATAATACCAGGCTGGTGTGCTGCTCCATCGCCAGGGGGCGCCTCTCCCCTCTGACTGTGCTGTAGGTGTCTGAGTTGGATTCAGTTTTTCTTTATTTAATTTACATCTTTACTGCGAAACCTCTCTCACGTGTGACTTCACCAGCTGGCACTGTGTATGTTTAGTATTTTTTATTTATTTATTTATTTATTATCACTCTCCGACACTTTATGTGGACCCCTGATGGCGTCTAAGCTGATAAATAAACATTGATAATTATCAAATGTGAAATGAAAGAACGATGAGAGCCCACTGTAGCCGGACAAAGGCTCGATTAAAGCCTCATAAAGAGGGGATCACAGAGATAAAATGGTGTGAACAGAGCGTTTCAGCTCCTTGACTCCTCCTGCCTGGAGGAGGAGGAGGAGGAGGAGGCGGGACTCGGTGCACCTAAACAGACGGAGGGCTCTTGCTTTGCTCTCAGTGTGTCAGTTCTGCATCACCAGAGGAGTCATCCGCACAGCTGTAGCAGCTCTGCCGGCCAACGTAAACACTGCGGAGGAAGAACCGCTTCTCCAGCCTGTCTCGGACCGTCCAGCCTTTGTTGCCGTCAGACAGCTGAGCACTGCGGGAGGACGAAGCTGCAGAGCCCGATCCGTCGGCGGCGGAAGGGACGTGATATGAACCCCTCATCGGCTTCACGGCAGCGCAGCTAGACAGCCCCGTTTGCGGGGGGATCGAGAGGACATTTGTACCTTTAACCTGCAGCCGAAGGCCCGACAAAAGCGATAGAACCTGCAGCCATGCCCGGGTTTGATTACAAGTTCCTGGAGAAGCCAAAGAGACGCTTCCAGTGTCCGCTCTGCAGCAAAGCGATGCGGGAGCCCGTCCAAGTGTCCACCTGTGGACACCGTTTCTGTGACACCTGCCTGCAAGAATTTCTGAGGTATGCTGTGTGTTTGTGTGCACAGGGATCCACCTCTTTGCAGGCGACACCGGAAATTACTGGCGTAGTTTCGGTCGAGCAGCAGTAAATAAAAGCATAGGTGTGCCCTGCTCACCTTTCTTCCGTCTTGCCTGGGTCTGCATTAATGTTGGTCTATTGTGTAGCTGCTGCCCAGAGCAGTAACACAATATGAGGCCTGGTAAACAATGCCTGGCTTTAACCCTCCTTCTCTTGATGTCAGGTGTGTTTTTTTTCTCTCTCTCTGCATGTGCAGCTTTAGCCTGGAACAATATTTCATCATTGTTAATTATCGCTTAGACTCATTAATGCGCAGATTTCTTTTTTCTCCGAGTGTAATCTTTATGTTAAAGTTTGGGGGTTTTCCCCCCTTTTACATTAATTTTTCATGCTGTGGTGATTGTGGCCTGCAGAGGGCCCCTGCATCCCCATCCTGTCTGTGTTTCTGGGCTGGGGTGGATGAGTCTGCGTGGGTTGTGTATGTGTGTGTTTGAGTATGTTCTTGAGTCCAGGATTAGACAGTGGTTCATTGGTCGGGGGCATCTGGGGGCCGCTGAGGGACCTTTCGCTCAGAGGTCAGCAGGATGGCAGACCTCCTCACCTTTTAATCTGTTCAACACTGGACTCAGTGTTAAGATCCCTACAAACAGAGTCTTTGTTTTGTTCCTTTTAAAGATGGCCCTGTTGCTAATTATCCCACTACACCTACAGGACTCTCAAGCAATAAATACACAGAATCCCCCAACAGCTTACCTGCAGATCACACACACCTGCATCAGGAGCTTCTTCTCCAGCCTGATTGGCTGCAGTGTCACCATGTAAAGTAGTAGATGAGTTCAGATTGTTGACTTCTGATTTGTGTTTATGTGATGTTTAGTTGCATTAAAATGTGTGCAGAAAAGCGCTAATGGCCCTAAAAGCCACATCACAAAGATTTAAAACAGGAAACAAACAGGTTAACAAATTTAGTTAATACTTAAATATTTTTTATAAACTGAAAAAAAATATTTTAAAGGTTAAAATTAACCTTGAAATATTTTGGTGCACTGATAGGTACAATTTGTAGTTGTAATAATAGTAATAATGATGATGATAGGGAAAAATCTAATTTTTGACCAAAATATCTGTTTTTAAATGGTTTAAAATGTCCTGCTTTTCTTTGTGTTATCTCATTTTACACTAACTCCATTTGTGTTGTTTCCCTGTTGGTTGTGGACTTTGAGACACTGAGAACTTTTTGTTTGTTTGTTTTTTGAACAGAGAGTAGCCGATTAAATAAAAGATCTGATCTGTGTATTACAGTTGCGTTGCCCTCCACACTAGAAGGTCTAAAGACTTGATTGTGGGAGTTGTCATTCATAAGCTTGGCTTTTATTTCCTTCTTTTTTTTCTTTTTTTTAAAAATCTGTACAGTGCGGTCTAAATGTGACTCACACTGTTTTGGAAAAGCTGTCTGATTACCACATTTTTCTTTTCTTTTTTTGAGCAAAAGTGCCGTCAGAACTTGATTCCTCCTCGATTTGAGAATTTGCTGGCGTAATAGATTCAAGTGAATGAAATGGGACTGAAGAACATTTGTAGTGTTTTGTGCTGAATATTTGAATTATTGGAAATATGATCATTAGTTGTTTCATGTGTAGGCTGAAAACTAAATTCACACATCAGATTTGAATAAAAGTAGATCTGGTCTCTTCGTTCAGACTATTGTTCTATTGTTTTTATGTTATGGAGTCTGGATGGGATATGGGTGACAGCTGCTGTGATGATTCAAATCTGAGCTGCAGTGATTAAATGGAAAGATAAATCGAGAAAGACAAACCACAAAGTTGCTTTTGTTTGAGACAATGAAGACGACTGTCTGCAGTGTCTGATGCTATGCTATAGTTAAACGTCACATTATAATTGTTCAAATGTAGTTTTATGAGTCATAAAAATGCTGCGGTTTCTTGGTTTGTCATTTTTCCTGTCAAGCTGATCTGCAGTTTAACGTCAGTTATAAAATCAGCTATTTAGCTGAGACCAGTCTTCGGTTTTACTTGATGAAACACGAAGACACCCCGAGGGAAACTGGGATAACTTTTCTGTAAGCTCCAGTTGCTTTCAGGAAAGACTGATGTCTTATTTGGTGATCATTTAGTCAGGCTTCCTGTGTCAGAACACATTGACAGCACAGAGGTGGATTGACGCTATGAATATATTAGCTAGTTCGTCGTGAGCTGCTGGTTTGCAGTGTTTTGAGTCATCGGGAAGCCTCCTCTGGATTACTAAACAGCAGTAGATTGCATCTGGTTGAAAAGCAGAAAGAGTGCTGAACAAAGGGAGCGCGGGAGGAACAGTGTTGCTGCTGATCAATGAGTTTGGCCCGACGCTTTGTCTGCCTCATCCCGTCCGCCTCCACGTTCGTCCTCCAGTTTACGCTCTTTTTTTCCCTTTAACTCCCACAGACTCACTGAATTTAACTAAAGTTTCTCAACTTGTTAAAGTTTTGATTGTGCCCCTGCGTGGTAGAGATGTCACATAATATGATTCCTCCCTGTACAGTTTACATGACCTACATCAAGTGAGTGGAGAGCCTTACTGGAAGTGCATCTCCTCTTTAACAACACATCCTGAGTAAAGGAGCTAAAATGTGGGTGGTCGTTTTATCAATATTTACTAATGTTCACTGGTCATCTGTTGGCCATTGATCAGAACATCATTCAATACTTAAAAGTATTCACACCTCTGATCAGTAAACTTAGGTGTTAGACTTTTTAGCACCCATTGTATCTATTTCCAGCTTATTAACAAATATATTCTTACACCAGATAATTAAATCTCTTTATTAATGGCCTAAAAAAACTGCAGAATAATGTATATAAACTTTTAAAACTGCACCTCTGATCTTGATGTCTCCAAATTTGTTACGAGCCACTTAAAAAAAGCTATTTTCTGAGCTTTTCATGAAGAGAGATGTGTGATAGTGGCACTAAGATGTCTAAATAAACGGTTTCCACATTCAGATTTATAATAATAGAATCAAAATGACGTACAAGGTCACACTGTTTCTCAGTGGGAACTCTGATCGTGCTTCAAAGGAGATTTCCTGCTTCACTTCCCAGGTAGATTAAAGCGTAAATAAACATCTATGTGAACAGCAAATAGTGTTTTAGCAGCTCCTCCGCCGTCATGAAACAGCCGACAGGCTTCGTTCTCACCTCTTTAATTAACGAAGTGTGCCAGTCGAGGCCGTCGAGCGTGTGCGCCTTTTGTGAGCACGGTTCAAGTTTATTGAGGCTGACAGTCAGTAGTTAGCTAATGCATTGCCCATTGTGCAACTCAGCTGATCCTGTCTCTGAAGTTATTGAGGGCTATGTCACATCCAGTCCAGGCTTGCTTGGCCAGTATGCCCGCTTTCACATGGACGGCTCTGTCATCATCTCCGGAGACCCACTGCTCTGTCACAATAAGCCGCAAGTAAGCAAATGCATGACATTGCTGGAGCGTTAATCATCCTTTCTCACGAAATAATCCCTCCAATTTATTTAGAAATTTATATGGCGCAATATAACTGGGTTATAACACACTATGTGGTGAGTGATACATGCTTAATAACCAAATTCCTCATGAGAAGAACGAAGATGATCACAAATGACAGTAATGGCACGAGGGCATGCAGAAAGCAACAACTACCAGGGTTAATGCACCATCTTTGTAATTTTAAGGAAATTGATCCCGATCTGCACCACGATGCGATGCCTTCTTCTGTTAGTCATGCTCCAAGTCTCCTCCGAGTTCTGGTTTCACTTTTAGTCCTAATGTGACAGTACTTGTCAGGTGCAAGCTGTAATAAGCTCCGATGTGAGGACATCCTAGGCTGGAGCCTATCCCAGCTGTCACAGGGTGAGATGTGCAGTACACCCTGCGCAGGTCCGTTCATGCTCACATTCACGCCTAGGGCTAATTGAGCATCAGCAATTAGCCTGTCTTTGGAGTGTGGGAGCAAACCGGAATACCTGGAGAGAGCCAACGCAGGCACAGGGAGACTCCTTCACTCGGGGCAGGATTTGTACCTAGGACATTCTTATTATGAGGCAACAGTGCTAATATGTTATATAAATATTTTGTATTATACCTCTATGCAGATATAAACCATGCGTGTTCAGATAGAGTTTTCTATCACCTTTTAAACCATTTATTTTGTTCATATGCAGCTTATAAATGCCATGTAGTGTTATTTAAAGGACCACGAGGAGGCTAATCCTGTATTTCCACTTCAAAGAATGTCACAGTGGAGTGAAACGTCCCTGAGAGGCACTCAAGGAAACACATGAAGCGTTGTGGCTCTACTGTGTCTGAGCAGCCTCTGTTAGCATGTGATGCTAATGGCCTGTGTTTCCGCTTTGGGAGGAATGTGCAGCAGCAGCAGTCTTGGAGGTTTCCCCCCCCCCCCCCTCCAACACACACTCTTCTAAAGGGAGTCATGGGGTAAAAGCAGCCCTGCCCTACAGCTTGAACACACTCTGCAATCAAATAGGAGTCACATGCCTCAGTTGCTCAGTGTCTACTGACCAGGGCAGACTTTGTTTTAGCCACACTGTGGCTCTAATAAAGGAGAATAAACACTTAATAGGTGGGCTTATGATCGAGCCACACATGCCGGGCCTCACGGCTCGGCAGTGCCGGGACTCCTGAGCCAGAGTAAAGCCTCACAGTGTAACTGTGGGGCCTCTGTGGGGATGATGCAGTGCAGCGCCACGGCCTTGACAGGGGTGTAATTGGTTTGTTCAGCTCGGGAGCATCTCTTCCTACAGGCCCTCCGCGCATTCGTACAGCACAACTGCTGACTTACCCGGAGTCACGAGTGGCTGCAAAGTGGGCTAATGTGAGAATTTTTCACGGCTCGATTATTCACTGTCCGAAAGCCAGGCCAGTGTTTTTCGCAGCAGACCTTGATTCGTTTTAACTTTGACATGTCCTCTGTGTGTAGCACAGCATTTTTC